ATTCTTCTCCTACATAACTTATTTAGGACATTTATAATATTTTTGAAATTTTAAAAGTTTACATTAACCATAAATTTTATTTGGAATAGCATAGAGGATATTATGAAACTATAAATGTATTTACTATAAATGGGGGATATCATATCTAAAAGGTTGAGAATTATAGTTTCAAGTAAAATTCTTAACAAAGATTTCTTGAATTAAAACAATCTTCTCTAATACTAGAGACCCTTCAATATGCTACCTCCAAATTAATTTTTTACTTGATTTACTAAAATCAGCTAATAAGCATGCTTTTAAAATTGCCAAAACTTTTCTGAGTAACAGTTGAGAGGCCCCACACACACACACACACACACACACACACACACACACACACACGGACTAATCAGTACTTCAAGAAATATAAACAGTAGTTAGGAGTATGAGGCATATACATAAATAACTCTGCAGAATAGAATGGAATCGGTCACTAGGACTGAACGAGTCTGTATAATCAACATTACCCTTTAATTATGGAACACGGAAGCAAAAGTGATAAAAGACTTTAAGAAGGAAAAAAAAAATAGCAAAGGTGAATGCCATCCAGAGTCTGCTCTATATGGAGAGGAAAGGATGGGAGAAAAGTTCTCTTTTCTATATATTTGATGTACAGTGGGGCATGGTGGTGCACACCCTTACTCCCAGCACACTGGTAGAGGAGGCAAGTGGGTCTCTGTGAGTTCAAGGCCAGCCTGATTTACATAGTGAGTTCCAAGTCAGCCCAGTGTATTCACAGGGTTACATAGTGAATCTCAAAAAGAAAACAAAAACCAAAAGAAAAAAAAAAAATTCTGGACTAAATCTCTGATGCATATAGCTCTTTTAAATCAGTCATTTCTCTTTTGACCCATTCATCATTCAGGAGTGTGTTGTTTAATCTCCATGCATTCATGTGGTGATTAGGGCTTCTACCGGTGTTGACTGTAAGCTTTATTGAATTGTGGTCTGATAGAATGCATGGAATTACTTCAATCTTTTAGTATTTGTTGAGGTTTTGTGCCCCAGTGTATGGTTGATTTTGGAGAAGGTTCCATGGGGTCCTGAGTACAAAGTATGTCCTTTGGTGCTTGGGTGGAATACTTGGTAGATGTCTGTTAAGACCATTTGATGTATGGTATTGTTTAATTCAGATGTCTCTCTGTTAACTCTCTGCCCTGTTGACCTATCTATTGGAGACAGTGGGCTACTGAAGTCCCCTCCTATTAATGACTTGGGATTAATCTGGGACTTAAAGTCCTGTAGTATTATTTTTATGAAGTTGGGTGCACCAGAGTTTGGTGAATATATGTTCATGATTGAAATATCTTCTTGATTGATTGTTCCTTTGATCAAAATGAAATAGCCCTCTTTGTCTTTTCTGGTTAGTTTCAGTTTAAAGTCTATTTTGTCAGATATTAGGATTGCTACGCATGCTTTTTTCTTAGTGCCATTTGCTTGGTATATTTTTTTCCATCCTTTCACTTTGAGATAGTGTCTGTCCTTGAAAGTGAGATGAGTTTCTTGCAGACAACAAAAAGATGGGTTTTGTTTCTTAATCCATCAATATAGACTGTGTCTTTTGACTGGGGAGTTCAGTC